CTCCCCCCACTCACCATCATGAACAGCACTGTAACAACAGTGGAGTCATTCAGGTTTCTGGGCACCACCATCTCTCAGGACCTGAAGTGGGACATTCACATCAACTGCCACAGGAGCTGCTGAAACAATTCTACTCTGCCATCAATGAATCCATCCTCTGCACTTCAATAACTGTCTGATCAGTTTCTTCCCTCAGGCAATTCATCTCATGAACACTTGACAATAATTGTGGAATACACAACACTGGTATTTATACACTTATACATTTATTTATCTAACACACATACTTAGTTTACATTTCAAATTTGCACATAATATACCTGTACATACAAAACTGTCTATTGTAATATGCCTGTACATACAAGTTGTCAATTTGTATATCGTTATATTCCCTATTTACTTCTATTTTAATTCTTTAATTATCTGTGTTTTGTCTTGTCACTGTCATTCTGTTGCACTGTGGAAGCTTCTGTCACAAAAACACATTCCTCGTATGTGTAAACATACATTTTGGGGTTGGTAAATGTTCTTGATAGTCTCTGATGCTCACCAAGGCTGCATTTATTTAATACAGTAAAACAGTATTGTGAAATATCATTACAATTAAAAATAACTGTTTTCTATATATTTTAAAATGTGATTTATTCCTGTGATGCAAAGCTGAATTTTCAGCATCATTACGCCAGTCCTCAGTGTCACATGATCCTTCAGAAATCATTTTAATATGCTGATTTGCTCCTCAAGGAACATTTTTATATTTTTGTGGAAAACACAATTTTTCAGAATTAATTTTCATTTTTTTTTTCAGCATCGTTTGATGAATAGAAAGTTCAAAAGAACAGCATTTACTTGAAATAGATTTTTTTTTACATTGTACATGTCTTTGCTGTCACACTGTTGCTTGAACAGTAATGCATTTACCATAGTACAGATATATTTAAGCCATTGCTTATAAGAACTGCATTTTAAATAGAAAATAAAAATGAGACTCTTAATACATGCAAATACTATAGCTAAGAAATATTTAAGAAAATTTGCAGATGGTCAATAAAACATTGCTCTCTCCATAGGCACAAGTGATCCATATGTGAAATTCAAACTGGATGGGAAGACCTTATACAAAAGTAAAGTGGTGTATAAGAATCTCAACCCTGTCTGGAATGAGACTTTCTCCTTCCCGATCCGCAACCTGGACCAGAAACTCTTCATCAAGGTACACGTTTACTTTGCTGTGGCATGCATGCATAAGCAAGCATTCACATTACGCCAAGATAGCCACAGGTATATTAAGCAGTCCCATCCACACATTATTCAGGTTTATGATCGAGATCTGACAACGGATGACTTCATGGGGTCCTGCGGTGTTGAGCTCAATAAACTGGAACTTGAAAAGTAGGTTGATTTGAAATGTTTGTATTAAAGGTCAAACCAGAAGTGTGGTTTCTGATGCTTTTGTTCTGTCTGTTGTACAGGAGCAGCGAGATGGTGCTTCCACTGGACGACCCCAACAGCCTGGAGGACGATATGGGTGTCATAATCATCGATATTTGCTTATCTGTGAGGGACGGCAAAAACAAAAAACATGTAAGCAACTTTTATGAATTTCAAAGAGCTGGTTAGGCAAGCCAACTAACTCCACTAACTAAATGTTTGCTGCTTATGTATTCACAATATTTGTTTCTATTGTGAAGAGATGGGCCCAAAGGAAAAAAAGGAGCCTAACGGTGAGAAGGATTAGTTTTAAATGACCTCTAATTGTTTTTTGATTCTAGAGTGGTTGTGTCAGCGCTTTCTCATGAATTTATCCAAATACTTCCTGTAATAATATATTCAAAGCAAATGATTCCACAAACAGTGATCCTGCTTTTTCATCTGGGGCCAGTCTATATGTTAATCTGCATGCAAATAACGCAATGAAGAATAAAACTAACCAAATTCACAACCAATATAGCAGTGGTTCTCAACTCTTTTTTTGGACATCAAATGTTGACCCAAATGTTTTTTAATTTTGATGGTTTCCTGATCTCGGAAACCAATAATTCGCCACAGAAAGCACGCTGTGGTAGGCACAAGCCATGTTTATTCTCACTGCAAACAACTTGTAATTTTCATCATTAGTCTGGGTCATACCTTCTTATATCTTGCATAATTTTTTTCATGGTTTTTGAAAATGAGGCCATGCCACACAACCTGTCCATGCTGGCATCAGCCTAAATTGACTAGCTTTTACCAAGTGACAAAAATACTGTAGTTTGATTGGATGCATGAAAGATACAATAACTGGGTATATTTATTTAGCTAAATTAAATATGCATGATTATATCATGCATTTTATTATTTGCATGTACAACTGTTTTCCCTGCTGTATAAATAGACCTGGTAGTTGAGAACCACTGCGATTATAATATCCAGAAACTTTGCACAAGTTCTCAATATCACACTGTAATATTTTTATTGATCCTCAGGGAAGTACAACAGAGCATAACAAGCGTCTCACGGAGTCTATGAAGAAGAGTCAACTCTGGACCGAGGTATATACCATCACTCTGGTGGACATTGCAAGGATACGATGCTATTTTTACATGATAAATATCACTATTGGAAATATATTTACCATTCAAAGAAATTAATTGTTTGATTCAGGATGCATTAAATTGATCAAACGTCACATTAAAAACCTTGACAATGTTACAAAAAAATTATATTTTAAATAAACATGGTTCTGTTTAACTTTATAGTCATCAAAGAATCCAGAAAAGAGTAGCACAACTGTTTTCAACTAATAATAATAATAATAAAAAAAGTTTTGGGGTCAGTAGTAAAGAAATTATCATTACATTTAAATATTATTTCACAATATTATAATATTATTTTTAGTGAGCATAAGAGACTTTCAAAAACATTGAAACATCTTTAGAAGTAGTTCCACAACAAAACTTTTACAGCTCAAATAACTTTCAAATCACATTTTTTTTAATAATTAATGTAAGTGGTTTAACAGAAATACAGTATACATTCAGAGTGTGCAAACCTTGTTACATTAATTGTAATTACTTTTGTATTAAAAAAATACAGAGAGACAAGTTTGAAATGATTTTCTGAGGTAAACAACACTATGCAACAAATACTGTCAATAGAGCTTAACTTCAATCAAACCTAGAACATTCAACTCAAAAGAATAAAGAATTTAAAGTGCCCCTATTATGCCATTTTTAAGGTTCCTACACTCTTAAAAATAAAGGTGCTTCACGATGCCATAGAATAACCTTTTTGTCTAAATGGTTCTATAAAGAACCTTTAACATCTGAAGAACCTTTCTGTTTCACAAAAGGTTCTTCGTGGCGAAGGAAGGTTCTTCAGATTATAATAAGGTAAGAAAGAGATGGTTTTTTTAAAGAACCTTTGACTGAATGGTTCTTTGTGGAACCAGAAATGGTTCTTCTATGGCATCACTGTGAAGAACCTTTTGAAGCACCTTTATTTTTAAGAGTGTAATAATGTTTTGTGAGTCTCCTACAATAGGATTACATGCATGCAAGGTCAAAAAACGCTTTTGTTTTCTCAAAATATGCATTTAATATCACCTCATTTTCCAAAGATTCCCAAATGATTCATTTGAAGCAGTTCTAAGATTCAGTCTCTCTAAACCCCTCCTTTCCGTGAGCCTGCTCTGCTCTGATTGGCCAGATGGCCCAGTCTGTTGTGATTGGTCTACCGCGTACAGCGCGTGTCGGAAACAATACGCCCATTGCCATAGTATCGTATTTTGAATGCTCGATAGAAAATATAAACATCTATTATTTATAATACTTGTGATTCATTGGAGCCAGCTGGTCCAAATAAACAGGATACTGATCCATCTTTCAAGAGCAAGCGTTTAGTGAATCCCGCGTTGAACTCCCCGAGATTAGAGAAGCAGTCGTCATTAAAATGGCGTGTTTGTGGGCGGGGTCAAGTTGTTTGCTGCCGGCCAACGTAGAACATGGGCGGGAATTATGCAAATGTGTGAAGTGGGATTTGAATTACTAATGACTCGTTTAGGCTGTACAGAGTCGATTGGGGAAGTCGTGGCCTAATGGTTAGAGAGTCGGACTCGTAACCCAAAGGTTGCGGGTTCGAGTCTCGTACCGGCAGGGATTGTAGGTGGGGGGAGTGAATGTACAGCGCTCTCTCCCACCTTGTGTGTGCACTAAGGATGGGTTAAATGCAGAGCACTAATTCCAAGTATGGGTCACCATACTTGGCCACATGTCACGTCACTCACTCACTTTTAAAAAAAAATTTTTTTTAAATGTATTTTGGGAGACAATAACTTTATTTATCGTGCACTTTCGGCTTTACAATTTTGCTGACCGTTTACATTCACATACAGCTACATTACACACTGCATGAAAGGCAATATTGGAAATGGCATAATAGGGGCACTTTAAGAATGTCTTGCTGGTTTTGTGTTCAAGGCCTGGTGTGTCTGTGTGCACATTGCAGGTGTGAGATCGACTTGTCTGGGTTGCCGTTGAATGAATCCACACTGTTTACACATGAGCTGGACCCGGGCCGAGGCAGGGTGGTGTTCCTCGTCACTCCCACTCCCTGCACTGGAGCTTCCATCACGGATCTCGTCGCTCCTCCACTGGAAGAGCCTCATGAGAGAGACAACATGCTGGTTAAATATGTGTGTTAAACCGATTACTCTACCACAGTACTTCCTTATGCATGCTACAGAGTGCATACTGCATACTGTGGCATTTTAAAAAAAGAACGTGAAAAAGAATGTTTAAATGTCATACTATGGCATCTAAAAGAAAAAGAACATGTATAAAATAATAGTAAGCAATAACAATATGCAGTCCTGATCTCTCATTTTTTTTTATCTCGGCAGAGTTTCAGGAACTCCCTGAAGGATTTGAGAGATGTTGGTTTTCTTCAGGTTAAAGTGATCAAGGCCACTGACCTCATGGCTGCTGATCTAAATGGTATTTATTATTTGTTGATTACACAAAGAGTCTTTTTTAGTCATGAGTAAGGGTGTGAGCATCAACAACCACATTCACTGGATCTTCTGTATATGTGTTTAGGAAAGAGTGACCCATTTTGTGTTCTGGAATTGGGAAACAACCGGCTGCAGACCCACACCATATACAAGACCCTCAACCCTGAGTGGAATAAAGTCTTTACATTGTCAGTATCAAGATTTATTAATGTACTCTACCATTCCATACTTTACCATACTTTATGGTCAGTAAGATTAACATTAATTAATAAAGTTGATACTTTTATTGGATGCAAGAATACATTAAATTGATCAAAAGTCACAGTAAAGACATTTATAATGTTAAAATTTTTATTTCAAATAAACACTGCTCTTTTGAAATATGTGTGCATCAAAAAATTCTTAAAAAATGTATTACCGGATCCAGAAAAAAAAAAAAAACTGTTTTCAACTATGATAATAATATGATTTCTTGAGCAACAAATCAGCATATTAGAATGATTTCTGAAGGCTCATGTGACACTGAAGACTAAAAATTGGCTTTACCATCACATGAATAAAGTACATTTTAAAATGTATTGAAATAGAAAACTGTTATTTTAAATTGCAATTATTCACAGTATTACTGTTTTCGTGAGCATGAGACTTTCAAAAACATGAAACAATCTTACAAACCACAAACTTTTAAACAGTATTCTACATATTATTCTGTATTATCAAATTAATAGTGACATTTATTCCAATTCTCTTGTTGACCAGCCCAGTAAAAGACATTCATGAGGTTCTGGAAGTGACTGTGTTTGATGAGGATGGAGACAAAGCCCCAGATTTCTTGGGGAAGGTGGCCCTTCCTTTAATCTCGGTAAGTGCAGAACATTGACATAATTTGTGACCCTGGACCACAAAACCAGTCATAAGGGTCAATTTTTCGACATTGAGATTTATACATCAGATAGGACAGGACAAGGACAATTAGGATAGGACCATATTTGGCCGAGATACAACTATTTGAATATCTGGAATCTGAGGGAGCAAAAAAATCAAAATATTGAGAAAATCACCTTTTGAAGTTGTCCAAATGAAGTTTGTAGCAATGCATATTACTAATCAAAAATTAAGTTTTGATATATTTACAGTAGGAAATTTACAAAATATCTTCATGGAACATGATCTTTACTTAAAGGGGTCATATGATGCTATTTTAAAGATCATTATTTTGTGTATTTGGTGTAACAGAATATGTTGACACGCTTTAATGTTCAAAAAACACATTATTTTTTAAAATACTGCCTCTCTCAAACACGTCGTTTTCAACAAAGCCCCCTCCTTTGACAAGCGCAGTCTGCTCTGATTGGCCAGCTGACCCAGTGGGGGCGTGTTAGAACGAGCCGTTTTAGGTAGGCATGGCTGACTCTTAACTTTTATAAAGAATATCTCTTTGGATTTGAGACTTTAGTCTTTGCAACTTTACAGATCTTCTTTATGCACAAAGAGCTTGTAACACTCCAAAGAGAAAGGAAAACTTATCGCATATGACCCCTTTAATATCCTAATGATTTTTGGCATAAAAGAAAAATCTATAATTTTGACCCATACAATGTATTTTTGGCTATTGCTACAAATATACCCCAGCGACTTAAGACTGGTTTTGTGGTCTAGGGTCACATTTACTTAAATACCTACATTTTTCTTCTTAAAATTTTAGAGCAGTGGTGTTGAATTGTAATTAATATGTTTGAATTTTGTTTAATGTTTTTTTTTTATTACAACAGATACGTAACGGTCAGCAGGTTGCTTGTCCTCTGAGGAAAGAGAATTTGGGAGGACTGTCTAAAGGAACCATAGTACTGGAGCTGGAAGTCATTTTCAATTCTGTGAGTCTTGACTGATAATAACAACAAAGAGATTACACCTTTATTCAGTAGTTCAGTATGATCAGCCAAGCAGAATATGAAACGGCCAAGTCACATTTATTCATACAGCACTTTATACAGTTTAGATTGCTTCACGTTCACATACATATATAAATATCATATATTAAAATCCGTCAGTTATGAACCAATTTGATTGCAGCTATTAAAGCAGCTCTACAGAAGATAATAGTGCCATTATTTAGATCAAAAATACTGAGCTCAGATACATTTTCAGCACCTGATGTATATTCTTGTATGTACTGTATCTGTAAAATAGTTCATATGCTCAGAGATTGTATATTTAATAGTTTGAATTGTTCAATGCCTTGGCCAGATCAAAGCAAGCATCAGGACCTTCACACCTAGAGAACAGAAGTTTATGGAGGACAATGCCAAGTTTTCTAAGAAGGTATGATGTTCAGAAATATTATAGCACCAGTAGAGTATAGTATAAGTTGGGTAACATCCACACAGAAATGTGTCAATGTATGAGCTGCTAACTATCTAACAACCACCAGGTTCTTGCCAGGAATGTTCTTCGTGTGAGGAACCTTTATCGTGCTGTGTGCCACGCCAACCAGTTCATCAAGAGCTGTTTCCAGTGGGAAAGTGTGCAGAGGAGCATCATAGCATTTCTGGTTAGAAATTCATTCATTCATTCAGTCAATTCATGATTGTTTAATTAGATTTTTGTGGTATTATATGATTTGGAAATAAATCATATAAATGCTAGGTTCCCTTTCAGTCGGTCACTCTCGACGTCACGTCAGATGACCGACGAATTGGGATCTCGCTTAGAGAGACCAATCTACTTAGAGTGTAAACTAAACGAGCCAATGCACATTGGCATGCGATTATTGCATCCAGCTGCCGCTGATCACAGCGTGAGTATAAGTAGGCAGCAGATACAGCGCATATTCAGCTTTTCGCTTCGGAGCCGAGCGGTTCTATCGTTCTGCTCCTGACCTTCTGCTGGGTCGAGTAAAGACTACAGTCGAGTCAAGCACGCACTTCGAGGGCTCTCGTGCTGGTGGTACGGCGCTTCAGCGGCGGTGGTTTTCCCGTTTCGAGTGGGTTGCACACAGCAGGCTGCACTACCCCTGTGTGTGTTGCAGACGGCCATCTCCCCTGTGCGCCTCAGCACACTAAAAGAGCTTTTTCCCCTAAAAGAGCAATTTCGGGTGCGCCTTTTTAAAGACGACGTTGCGTGGCAAACGTGACGTTACGTCTTTGTAAAGACGATGTGGGTCTTACTATAGACAATGTATCACCCGAGCGTTTCTGGATGCGGTCGTTACCTGGCGCCGGGTGATGGTCACGATCGCTGCCTCTCGTGCCTGGGCATGAAGCACGCTGAGGTGGCTTTCGTGGATGACCCATGCTCCCATTGCGGTGTTATGACCATCTCGGAGTTGCGGACCAGACTCCGTTACCTGCAAGGGGGCGGAGTGCCCGTGCCACTGCCTAGATCTGGGGTTCCCTCTGGTGGCAGCCGGGGGTACCCTTTTTCTGGCAGTGGGCGGACTGGTCTCACGGTCACGGTGAGGAATTCCCCTCCAACAAGGAAGGGGATGCCCCAGCCAGCCGGCACTTCGAAGCCAGTGGAGCCCTCGAAAGAGCAGGCTGGATCCTCCCGGGGGATACCACCTGTTTCTTCCGAGGCTCCCCCCGACGATCGGATGTCGATTGCAGCATCGGAGGGTGAGCCAGAGCTTTCTGGAGAGGAGGATTCAGCTGCGCTGCTCTCCTCCGGGACTGTAGCAATGCCTGAATCGGATCCAGAAATAATGGCTATGCTTTCCCGGGCCGCCGAGAGAGTCGGGCTCGAGTGGAATCTTCCACCGCGTCCCGAACCCTCAAGGTTGGACGATTGGTTTCTCGGGGTGGCCCGTGCTGGTTCTCAGGGCCCCACCCCAGTGCCTTTCTTCCCGGAGGTGCATGAGGAGCTCAACAGGTCGTGGACGGCACCTTTTTACTGCCGGAAGCCGATCTGCTGGTTCCTCCTCCCTCACCACCCTCGATGGTGGGGCAGCCCCCTCCCGGGTCTGTAGGTACTCGACTGGCCAGCGATGCTTATACGACCTGTGGAGAAGCGGCGAGCAAGCGGCCCTGAGACGGGCGACCCAGAGATGGAGGAAGTTGCTCTTCGGGAGGTGGTGAATGCACCACTCCCTCCCCCGGAGGAGGGCCGGGCGGAGAATCTTTTGTTTCCTTTTTTCCTCCGCTGACAATACTCGACAGAAGAGCAAATTCCTCTATCTCTGGGTCCCCAGA